TTCAGTAACTTCATATGCATGCTAAAGCTGGACAGTGAATAAGGAAGACCATAGAAGAATTGATGCTTTTGAGTTATGGTGTTGGAGGAGAACAGTGAAAGTGCCATGGGCTGCCAAAAGAACCAACAGATCTGTGTTGGAAGAAGTGCAGCCAGAGTGCTCCTTGGAGGCCGGATGGCCAAACTTCATCTCTCATACTTCGGACATATTGTCAGCAGGGACCAGTCTCTGGAGAAGGATATAATATTTGGGAGGGTCAGAGAAAAAGAGGAAGAACGCCAGTGAGATGGATTGGCAAAATGGCAGCATCAGTGGGCTCAAGCGTGGCAACAATTGTAAGGTTGGCCCAGGACTGGGCAGTGTTTCGTTCTGCTGTGCATAGGGTCGCTATGAGTCTGTACTGACTCGATGGTACCTAACAACAACAAGTTGGTAATGGAGCAGTGGTGTGGCACTGTGGGCGAATGCGTCAGATTGCAAAGTTGTTTGAATTGCAAGGTTGGTGGTTCAAGCTCACCAGTCACTCCTTGGAAACTCTATACAGGGTCTCTATAGGTTGGAACTGACTCAACCGCACTTGACAATAACAATAAATTGGTAATGAAGAAGTAAACTCTATGTGCAGATGATATGATCCTAAACATAGAAAATCCCAAAAAGTTGGTGAGAAGATTATTGGAACTCACTGAAAGATTCAACAAAGTGGCAGGGTACAAGATGAACATATAAAAATCAGTCTGATTCCTTTACATTAACAAAGGCCATGTTACTGGGTATGGTTTAGGTATGAGTCACCAATGCATTTAGTTTTTCAGAAACTTGAACCAGTCAGGTAGACAGACTCACTGTATAAGCAGCAATGAAAAGTCATTGGTCCCCCTCTACAGGGTAAAGGTTTGTTCTTGTACAACTTAAGACACTAGAGGCAGGCAGATCCCAAAAGGGACTGAGAAGAGGAGACTGAGCCATGTATTCTCAGTGTATCTCCAGATTTACCAATCTTATAAGCCCTTCCATAGGGAGGAATCAGTAAGGGGACAAGGAACTGTCAAGAGTGTTACTTTAATTGAACTCTATTCCACATGAAAGAAACATTAAGAGTGGAAAATAAGTTCTCCCTTCAAACATTAATGTTGAGTAAATGCTAACTTAAAAAATTGATATAGTTTGCTTATAAAATTTTAATCTAAAAGGTGTTAATCATGAAGTTCTCAAAACATTTAGAATATTAATATTTTTTCTCATAGCAGATCTTACCAAAATGAGTCTTTGAAATGAAGTGAGTTTTTCCCAGGGGAAATTGATAGGGCTGCACATTTCTCCATCTTCATTTAAAAGTTCAGCTAGGTTTAATTTAGAGAAGAAAATTGAGATTAACAATCAATTATTTAGGATTACTGAAAGATATATAACAATGAAAAATTTGTGACTTTTATTCTTTTTTGTAAACATGGCTGA